CCTCCAGGATTTCCACCAGAGGATAAGTCTCAATTGCAAGAAAAATCATGTTCCCTCCTTTTCTTTTTCCTGCTCTTCCACTGTAGCTTTTTTGAAAACAAACCCTAAAATTAATGAACACACCACAACAGAAAAAATAGGACACTCTCCACATATTCTGGGTTTTAGCTGAGCTTGATTTATCAGGTATGTCTCTATGATGGTAGAGAGATGACCTATTTCACAGCGTATGGATTGTTCATACTGTGTTTGCAGAAAACATTACTCTGAACAAATGCAATTTGTTCTGCTTCAGTTACAGCTAATATTGCACATATCTGCTCTCTGTCTGATGAACTTGCACAAAGAGTTTAAGAGTTTCAGACTGTAAACTGAAAATTAGCTAACGGCAACTGATCTGGTTTATTGATGTTCAAACAAATGCTGAATTAAAATTAGTGCAGAAACTTACATGTACATAAAATGCATCATGTACTTGCATACAGCAGATCACTGATGCATTTGTAAAAGAAAACTTCTGGAAGAATGCATAACTAGCATTGTATACACACATATATATATTTATTAATAGAAGGGCAGCTGCTACTTAATTTTAAGGTGCCATTTCAGAAATCACAGTCAAACATGTGACTAAAAAATGTCAAAATAGTTGTACTTGGGTTTGGCAAACAGGTTCCTGTAAGGGCATCACCCACATTGTATCCTAAAGCGTCGCTAACAGTAAGGCAATACAGATAGTATTCTGATAGCCACCTAATCAAACAAGAGAAAGTAAGAGAGCAGTGAGATTTTTTAGAATCAGAGAATCACTTAGGTTGGAGAGGACCTTTAAGATCATCAAGTCTAGCCTATGGCCTAACATTACTTTGTCAACTAGACCTTGGCCCTGAGTGAAACATTCAGTCCTTTCCTTGACACCTCCAGGGACGGTGACTCCACCACCTCCCTGAATAGCCCTTTCTAATGCCCAATCAACCCTTCTGTGAAGAACTTCTTCCTAATGTCCAGCTTAAACCTCCCCTGGTGCAACTTCAGACTGTCCTCTTGTCCTGTCACTGGTTGCCTGGGAGAAGAGAGCCACCCCCACCCAGCTACAGCCTCCACTACTTTGTAATAAGCAGCTACTTGAATGGCTCTTAAAAATACTCTAATATTTTTACCAAGTTCTTCTAAAAGCAGAGGGAAGTGTTTTCACCAGTTTTACTTAAATAAAGCATTCTGAACAAAGTGCAAGGGGACACTGGATAGAAGCTGAAATGGGCTATCTACCTTTATCTGCTCCTCCTCACGGTGCCTTGGGGATCCATGCAACTGATAGCCAGCTGCAGGTCTTGCCAGCTGGTCAGTATTTTATCACTGTAAAGGAGGCCAAAAGCCCCTTAACCAAAGGATTTGATATTAGCTGGGACCAAGATAGGGGGAAGAAACATGGCTATTTAGAACATGTGCAAGGTCCCAGGAAGGACCAGAAGATACAGCATTCTGTGTTGCTTCCTTGTAATAATAGCAAGAGTTTCCTTAAACTGTCTGCCACAAAACTTCCCGTAGAAAAGTCCTCAGAGTCCCCAAGAAACAAACTCTCTGAAATACCTCACCCTTTGCAGCTGTGGTGGAAACACAGTGCTTACAGCACAGCGGGATCCCAAGTAGCAGCTCTGAAGACCCTGCCTGGGGAGCACACACAGAGGCATCACCACCATTACTTGCTCTCTACAAGAGGAAGCCCAAACTGAAGGGGGAAGGGGGCTTACTTTGCTTTGTTTCTTTCACTAAAAACAGTTTTTTGTTCCAAGATCCACAGTGAAGAAAACCAAGATGGCTGTAAGCCCCTCTAGGTGTTCTTGGGCAAGGGCACAGCCACCAAGGCAGCCTTGCCAAACCAGAACTTTGCTCTCCTCTGCTGGAATGGGCTCCATGCCATAGCTTTTAAGTGCTGAGGACCTGACCTCACGGAGAACAGCTGTGTCTCCCTGCCCTGCCCTCCTGGACCATGCCACCAGACTGGTAAGGTTTGGCTGTACCTGTTCTTCAGGATACCCCAAGCACCCTCTGCAGTGTCAGCCTCTTATTATCCTCAGCACCCGAGTCATCAGCTGGGGCAAGTGTAGCCACAGAGCAGCTGGTCATCCCTGCTTTAGGCTATGTTGTGAAATGGGACAGGCACTCTGCTCCACAGGATAAAGAGGACACCTCATTTAGGGAAACAGCATTCCAGAATAAGAATTAAGTGTAGTCTGTAATGGGAGAAGGACATGACGAGATTGCATCTTTGAAGTAAGATGACAAGATTTTAATCTCACTATCTAGTAAGAAACCAGTAAACAAGAGGACAAAAGTCAACTGAGTTGAGATATCTAATTAGTTCATGAAGTATAATTTTACAGGTATAGCAAAGCAAGAGGTACTAATTAGTTGAAACTCATTAAGTGTAAGTTGTTTAGTAATTTAGGAGAAATTAATTCAGAATGGCAAGGCTGGTACAGACAAGAATTCCACATAGCTGAGTGTCACATTTCCAACAGCAGCCAGTCTGCTCAAGCCCCAGAGAAGTAATTTGCAATTCAGTCCTGACCCATGGGGACAGGCAGGCAGACCGTGCATTCCAGCTTTTCTGAAAGAAATATTAAAGGACAAAAATAATGAATGCCTTCATTACAAATGACCAGGTGAAACAATTAGTGTTTGTCTCCACCCATGAGCTATTAAAACTTCATGTTCCATCTATAGCAAGCATTATTATCCTAAGTAGAGAGATTCTGGATAAATAGATCAGCTGCGTTCACATTCTCGTCTTTTAGATTTCTGCTAATACTTACGCAGGAGTGAGGTAAGTCATACTTACCTCTTTATAAAATGTATCCTTCTTAGGGAAACAGAAACAAACATCCCAGGCAAGATATCACCAAGATTTTAATTGCATAACATTTTCAAGACTTGCTCTTTACCCAGGGTAAGTTTGTTGAGAGGAAGGGAGCTCAGAAACCATTGCACATAGTAGGCTAGAAAAGAAACTTAAAGAAAAGACAAAATAAAGCCCTAGCAGGAAAGCAAGTTCTGTGAACAAGACCACCAAAGTGTGCAGAAATGTCATCACTCACTTCAGCTGGAATGCTGGCAAACTGTAGATATTCTCTACCGTTCTGCTTTTAATCCCATCCATGAAACACAAGTACCCTCAGAGCAAACATGTAATTTAGCTAATCCTTTGCCAATTACACAAGGCAGTGGTTATAGGCAAAGGTTTCCTAGAACAGAAACTTTCAGAGAAGTGTCTCAATGACACTGAATCCGACTCATCCCCTGCAACTGTCTGCCAGGGCTTTTTCAGCCTCTCTGGTAGTACTCTACAGAGATCCACCACAAACCCAGTAAAAGGCAAGACAGCAATGCACAATTTTATTTGGGGGTAACTGTAGAACAAATGATTCCCTATAAAAGCAGGCACCAAATTCTGGGAAAATCTGTGCCTGGAATTTGCAGCTTAGTTATGGCTTAACTAATAATAGCTAACACAAGTGTAAAAGCCACATGAGAAACAGATTTTCCTTCCCACCATCCACTGGTGAAGCTGCCGACAAAAAGAAAACTAAAAAAGTCTGAAAACTTCACAAAAGTAAATTCTTTTCTTTGTACAGAATGGACACACTGTACTCCCACTCCTTTACAAAGGAAGTTAAGAGCTTCTTTGTGTCAAGCCTACTCTCTTTTTCTCAACAAAATAGAAATGAAAGAGCCATGTGAATTATTAACAGATGACAACAGAGAGCTAGCCAGGTATTTCAAACACTTGTGTCTCTTCTTCCTACATGAATTCCTCAACAGTACATGCCAAGTAAGTCTTCTTACTACTTCCATAATTTAAATCTGTAATTGGAGCTGATTAAATAACTTGTTGAGAAGTAAAGGCTTTTTTTACATTCCTTTCTTTCTATTTCTTTCCCTGGAGAGCATCCAACCTGACTGTCAGTGACTGGGGGGCTTCATGCTTTGCTCTGAAGGGCACCTGGTGATCAGGTGAGAGTCTTTCCCCCCGTTAACGCCTTTTCAGTACCACAAGTTCATGCAGAACATCACACAATCCGGAGGAAACAGAGACACCATTTACTTCTGAACTGGAATAGATACATAATGGGGAAATCTGAAAACAGACTAAAGCTTTAGTCATATTACAGTGTTAACCATCATGTCACAGTAAAAGCAAGTCTTGTTTATTATAAACACTTTGGATGGCCCCTTGTCCCCAAACTCCCCCCTCCCCAACCCCCCCAAACAAACAGGTGAACAGGACACCACTGCATGAATCCAACAGCATGCTTGCTATTTACACAGAAGTGCAAACTTAACACTGCTTCAGTCCATTCACATTTAACTCAAACAAATTCTGAGTTTGTCGAAGAATCCCTGCAAATCCAATGCAAAAAATAGAAATGGAATTATGTTAAGTCAGTATCAGAGCAACAGAAAGATATTTGAGAACTGACATAGGAAAACCCATCAAAATTAAAACTACAGTATTAAGCTTTAAAATAACAAGCTTTCTGACAACTTTGAAAAAGAATCCAGATGACCATATAAAAATATATATTTTTCTATTTACTTAAAAAATTAAATCCATAAATTCTAAACTTTCTTCAGTTAAAAGGGACCATTTCAAAAGGCGTGGTAAAGCACAGCATCTGACATAACACAAATGGAGGAGTAAAGTTTCCCACAGTGGAGCAGAAACCCCCAAGTGATACCTCAGGGCAAAAAATTAACCAGAATAACCTCTCTGGTTTGAATTTGACTGCGCTTCACACGTACACTGTTTATTCTACCTGCCATAAAAATGGACAAAAGCAGCACATACATTAGCAGCAGCTCCTACTGAAAAACAAGAAGCACAGCACATTCCCCCCTCAGCCAGCTCCCCGCTGGAAGTGCTCCAGACTAAGCCACAGAAACTTAACAGTGAGCTTTTAATGACAGGACACCATGTGCTCCAGCAGTCAAGTACTTACAAGGTTTCTTAAACAAATTGATCATGCCTACAATTTCAGACGAAGTCAGAGAAACTTCAGACTTGATCTTCTCTGAGGAAGAAACAGAAGCCATGAAATCACCAAAGAGAAGGACTTGTTTGGCTATTTTTCTTGTGATTTTAAAGACAACTCTGAAGGACATATTGTAATGTGATAGGAATCTTGTAGGAACAGCCTTTCAAATTAAGCTGGGCATGTATTTCAGCACTCTGTTCAAGATGATTTCAGATTGATAGATAAAAATTCCCATCTGATCGTTCATTTGTTACAGTTTATACAACTGCTTTTTGCTCAGTCTTCCCCAATCACAAAGCAAAAAATAACATTACCTTCCCACAAGGGCAATAAACTGGGACTACTCTTTATAGGTGCTGTGAATAATAGCATGATTTTTATAAAAGAAAAATCCTGATGTTATATTATCCATGTTTTTATTTAGACAAGAACAGTTTAATGTCAATTACTACCATAACATCTGGAGGCTGCATTTTCCAAGAAAATTTATGCTAGACACCAATACTTCCTGAAGCATCCTATAGTACCATGAAAGGGAGACAAACACAAGCAATCTATATTATTTCTCATGGAAGAAGCAACAGTAATGCAAATTCCTCTTTGAAAGCAATAAAGTTTGGAATAAATCCTAAAAGGGCTTCATTATGCAGTTCTCAGTCAACACTGGCTGAGCCAAATCCTACTTCTCTGTGCTCAGGGTAGAACTTCCCATAGCTCCAGTACCTTCTTTCACAAAGCTGGCAGTCTTCCACAAACAGGCTGTATAAACCAGGGCTTAAGGGAAAATATACCCAGTGAAGCTATGCTCCCAGATCTGTAGTTTGGCAGAGAAATGGGAGATCTGATTTTCAAATCTCCTGGGAACCAGGTAGCTAATCATGTGGTAAAATCCTCTACAGGAAATTAATGTTTTAGTGATGCCTTTTTGAATCTTGTTTGGTGTTTGTTCAAAATCAACTTGTTCTACAAGTTTTACCCAAAGACCAGGAACAAGTTGCTAAGCTTAGGCCTTCATATCCCAAAAGTGTTTAGACCAAAAAGTTTCTCATAAAATTTAAGATCTAGACAAAGTTGTGCTTTCTCAATGTGAAACTAAAATTTCTGGTTGTCATCTAGTTTCGACAGAGGTCCTTGGCATTTTCATATCAATTGCAGAAACTCTTGAAGTAAGATAAAGCCTTCAACAGAGAGGAATTTTAATTAATTTATTGTACATAGTGCATTTAATAGTGTCTCATTTCTCCAATCTCCCTCTGTGTCAATTAAAAACATAATATGTGAATAAACATTGAAGAATCCCAGGCTGCTTAGCAGTCCCTTTTTTTCTAAGCACTGCAAATACTGACATACAGAATAATCCCCCTAAACACAAGCAAATGGGATTGAAAAGGAAATGAGAAGATAAAATAAAGAGCTTGAGAGTAGTATCCCCCTGTTGTTTCTCCTTGTCATACAGATTTGTATCACAAACAGGTTTGTTTTTGGCAGATACACCAAGATTTATGTGTAATAATGACTTCAGCAACTTCTTTCTTTAGAGACACCTTTTATTTCACTAATGATACATTCTCAGGAGCCAAGACTTTCACCCAATTTAATTTTTAATTAAAAAGATCTTAAAAAAAAGGAGAATAGAAAGTGAAATTGCTGTGGTCTATCAAAATACATGACTTTTTGACTCATCTATAAGGGCTACTTTCTTCACTCCAACAGCTGCCAGACCAAGACTCTCTTTAGCAAATAAATAACTTCACCCAGCCTTCCTCCTGCAGCACAACATGGATCTAGCATCCCTCCAAACAGCCAGCAAGCCAGGGTTAATTAAGACCACGAGAGCTTACAGCAGGGCTCAGGACTATCAGAAAGGCTGCACAGGTACCTGAGCAAACATTGTCTGGACTCAGGTGTGGTCCCTGTCCTGAGCACATTCTGTAGCTATTCAGGTCCTTTGCACTTCAAACCCCACAACAAAGATTCACCTTGGAGACCAACAGATGAATACTGCAATGCTGAAAAGCACAGGTGTCGAGGGGTACCTCTTACCTCTCTTAGAGGGACTACCTAATCTAGCATTGACGTTGGAGGTGCATAAATGGCCACAAAACAGCCTCCTAACTGAGGACAATTAGTAGTGTTTAACTGTCATACAAGGTTATAAAATGACTTTTTGTACCAGAAGCAGGAAAGCAGCATCACTCAGACAGAAAGCATGAAGATAAGTGGTGGAAATCTGGTAATGAAGAGGCAGAAATCACTCTCCCTATAACTTCCTAGTATCAGCTTTATCTCAGTCACACCCAAATTGCCTGCTTCCAGCATCACAGCCTTTTTCTGTTTAAACAGGGATGAAAATTGAAACATAAGCTTTTGTTACACATCACAACATTAAATGAAAGGGGATAAAAGGTGAAGTGACAAAATCAAACAATGCAAATTATAAAGAGAAAAAGTATTTTCCTTCAATTTTCTTACTTGAAAATAGGCTTTAATAGCTGAAAAGTGTAATGCAGTAGACATTTAAAATGTCTTAGTTTTTCCAAAACAACTCCAGTTCATGTAAATCCCCTAAAAATATTAGGCACATAGTATGTTTTGCTTTTACATCATCTGCAGACTGCAATTAAATAATTTACATCACTGAATTGGTTGCAATGCCACGTATGATGCCAAACTGAAATTTTTGCATCCTCTTGCCAGCTTAGTTTATTTCAAATTTCATCTTGATTTATTTTCAATGCAACAGGAAATGGAGGCAGTGGGACTTATAAAGGCTTGTTATATGTAATTGTAGATGTGGATGTTAATAATGCAAGCATAGATTTATCATAGGCACTACACCTTTAACTCAAGAAGCAGACTTTGTCAGAAAACTTACCTGCTTGTTAAAAACCCCACAGATCACCAACTCACTCAAGCACTCCAAAGCTATATGCAGTCAATGGAGAATATTGAAGCTAGTAAAAGAAATCAAGAGAGAGTGGTAGAGAATGAAAGCAGGCAAAAACCACTGGAGCCAGGAAGTTTCTAATGAGTGGTTAATTGTATGAAAGGTGGGATGCATTATTTAGAGAAACATGTCCCACAGGAACTACTCAGGAGGTGACAGAGAGTTCTCAAGCAGGGTGGTTGGAATCTTGTTTCGTTGGTGGCCCTTGAATGCTGGAGGTCTGAAAGGTAAAACTTTCAAGTTAGCATAAGAACCCTGGCAGTCTATAGCATTTGCAATGTAACCATCTAATCTCCTTCTTCAAACAAACTCTGCTAGGTACTACCAGCAAGGCTGCCTGGGGCCCACTGAGTGAGCTTTGAGAAAGACTTCTGTTTCCTTGGGAGTGGACAGGTTCCCCACTCTCAGGTGAATGGTTCCAGCAGCACAGTCCTCAGCAAAAGCAAAAGCATGAAGGGTTGAAGGGAGCAGCATCACCCTGGAGACGTGCACTCCTGCCCTGGAGAGCACAGATTGCAGAGTGCATACTAACACTCCCCGTGCACACCCTTCTGAAGGCAGACAAGGAATACCATTTGTCAGAGTTTTCAACACAATGTTTCTCTGAAGTGCTGACTTTGTGCAAGCAAAGGCAAAGTGAAAATGTTTTAAATGTCTTTACCAGAAGTCTCAGTTGGAATGAAAAATATCTTGCATTAATCAACAACCTTCCATCAAAGCAAAACCTGTTAAGTATTGCTTCTTATCTTATTAAGCCACAAACCCTGATTAATATTGCTCTATTATTGTCTTATCTATGAGCAGCTAAATTTCTGCGAGGTTGGTTCAACTGACTTATGTTGCCGTGATTCTGATATTTTAAAAAAAATCTGTTACACAACCAGAGCAGGGATAAAAACACTTGAGCAGCTGAAAGAGTAGAGCTGAATAAGGAGTGCTACAAAACAGGAACAGATTTAAGAATAATGAGGTCACCTCACACCTCAACACACATAATAACAAAGTTATTCCATTCACTCAAATAACTTCACATTTGGTAGTAGCCACAGCACAAACTACCACACTTTAAAAGAAACAGAAGCATTTTCAATGCTTCGGCTAATTAGAAAATAATTAACACAGAACAATACCATCATGTGTTCCCTTTCCAGGTTTCTCCTGGCTTGACAGATGAAGAGAGAATTAAGAAGGGTGAAAAAATGTTCCCTTCCTCTCCAAGTCCTCCAAGTGAGATACCCCTAATCTTGGTATGTGGTTGCAGCTCTAGGGAATCAAACAATCATGGCATTTAGGGTGCTTCAGAAACATCTTGTTCCTGCTCAAGCACTCAGCTGTTGCTGTGTTGGCATCATGAAAGGTCTGCTTCTCATCAGGTATTTTGGCTTTTCAGTCTTTCTTATGCCAGACATCTGCAGTTTGTTATTTATTTAGCAAGGAAGAGACATACTATTAGCATCCCTCCAAACTATCAAGTCACACGAGGTAAAATTCAGAACCATAAGGTCTGGCAGGGTCAGTGTTCAGGGTTTCCTGGCTGTGCAGAGAAGGTGAAGACCAGGGAGAGGTAGGAAGCAAGGAGACCCATGTTCAAGTGAACAACCAAAAAGTAGACAAGGAAGTGAGGGATCCACACAAGCTTAAACCAGTTTGTCTATTCATTGGATTGGTGATATCTGTGCAGCAAGATACTGCAAGAACTGGGTTGTTTGTGTTTTGGATTTCTTTTAAAACATACCCAGAGATCATGCTTTATTTTTGATATAGAGAGGAGTGCAGCAGTCTATATCTAATAAAAGAAAGTTCCAGATGTCAAAATTGTTCAAAAAGCATGACTACCTACTGAGATAAAGCATGATAATGCTATCCCTAAAAGGGAGTTGGTATCTAAGCAAATACAGATTGGAATCACTGACTCATCCACCCTGGGCCTTTAAAGCAAATGGATGAAGGGCTGACAGAAGGAAGAGAGTGGGGAGAAAAATAAGAAGGCATAGAGAATTTAAACAGTATTAGCTACAAGTGAATCCTAAGTAAAGATTAAAATCACTGCCTAGTGGATTTTGTGACTTCTGAAGTCACGACCATGCAATTAGCAGAAAACTGGCAGTTCATGATGTATGATGACTTTTATGAGGAAAGCTTTCAGCAGTATTTTAACTTTTAAGAGCTACCATTGCATAGCTCTTCCAAGCTTCTTAAAACATAAGGAGAAATTGGCATAGTTCTTCCAAGCTGCTTAAAAAACATATGGAGAAACTGGCATTTAGTGGAAGCATCTAAAAATCACCACTCCCATTTCATAATTAACTCAACTATCTATTTTAGTATAAACAAAAAGTCTTTCCCAAATTTCTACTGTGTATACATCCTGCTGACTCTGACACAGTCAAGCACTCTTAAGGAAGGCAAATAGCCCAGGTCTTTTCTGTTGCACTCAAGTGATAAATATCATTGGTGGAATGATCTAGGATGATCATGTTCATCTAGCTTTTAGTTAGCTGAATATAGATACAAATCTTTAAAGCCAGAGAAAGCCCTGTTACTTCTGCTTCTGTAACTAGTTCTCAACAGGTCAGATTTCTTTACAGATTAAGAGGCATTTCAAGTCTTCTAAGGAAATGTTTTTTGCTTTTCAGCATTAAGGTTCCCATAAGAAAGTTCTGTATTTCTTCATTCATACATATTCTGACAGTCCCTCAATGGATGAATTATAGACTTCAATTTACAACTTCATACAGACATCACAAAGGCTATGTAAATTTCTCTTATGCACTTAATATGAATTACAAGTAATTAAGCTATTGAGAATGAGGATTGCCTTTCATTTTCATGTGACAGTCTTTCAAAATGCATTTATCAAGCCTGTAACCTCGAAAGTTGTTGGGCCAGTTCCCTTGGAAAAGTCCATAAGGGCAGCCTATTTAATCATTTCAGCAGAAGTAAAATAAATAGCTGGTATTATTTTCATTAACAATTTCTGAAACTATGATACCAATAGCCCAGTTGAAGAATTCAGTTTAATTTACCCTCAACCCTTCCTGAACTGAAATTTTTTAAAAAGATTTTGTTCATGATCTAGTTTTCTATAATTCCTTCCTATATTTCTATCGCTGAAGATTTCCTTACTGCAGCTTTGTTTTTATACCTTAGCAGAGGAATTCCAAGAAGTTTGGGAATATAAAAGATTACATATTGAATCTTTAAAGGTCGTCTTGTCTTTCAGTTCTAAACTTTAATTTTTGAAGTGAGACTACAGAGAATGAAATGAGTAGGGTTATTAAGGAGTGTCTGAGTGTTTTCTATGACAAAATGTTGCCAGAGAAAGATTCGATTCAGTATCAGGAAAAGTTTCTAAACAAAGTATATTAAACAATTGGATACATCCATGATGTGCAGATACATTCACCTTAACAAGGTACTCAGAAATACAATGAAATTAACAGTTCTACACTTAAAAGAGGAAGACAACATAAACTGAATACCTTATTGCTTCTTAGAGACAGTTTCTAGAACTCTCTAGCTCAAATACTAGAATTAAGCTTATCTTTGCTGCAGCTTGAAATAATGGGAAAGATAAGAGAAAAGGGAAGTAAGGAAGAAAACACTAAATCTGTTCCAGCTGTAAAAGGTCATGTCTTAGAATTCCTATACAAATACTTGGGTCTTGCTATCCCAAGTGATCAGATATGCTCCAGATTATGTAAGACACTGGGTGACCCACTTGCAGTGAGAAAGAACCACAAAACCAGCCTGGTCAGATCTACATTGTTTAGGCACAAGCAGACTCAGACATAGGCAGATCCCTTACAGTTATTTAGGAAGAAGGAAGAGTTTTCCTCTGTAAATAAACTGAAAATATGTCCTGTCTCTTTAATTTACAATGTAAAACCCAGTTTATTTTTACAATACCTGAATCATCAGTATTCAGTACCTCAGACAAAACATTTTGGTTAGTATCACTTTCAGCTGCAGCCATGTTGTTTTGTTGGTGTCTTTGTTTTGGGTTTGGGTTTGTTTGGGGTTTTCTTGTTTTGTTTTGTTTTGTTTTTTTCCAAGTGTTGCTGAAACAAGAAGTATAGCACAACACATTTATATCACCACTGAGATTTTGAAATCAAACACAAGGTAAATTCTCCCTTAGCTTTAAATCATGCACTAAAGTGTCTTACATTTTAGGCTGATTTGGAACAATGCAGTAGCAGCATTGTAAGGATACAACAATCATTACATTTCATTAGAGGTCTTTAACCTGTGAAAATTATAGCTGCAGTTATAACAAAGACCTGTAAATCAAAACTCTCAGGAACTGCAGCACTCTGTAATAAGAAAGTCACATTGTACAGGACATGCTTTTCTTCTTACTGTCTGCATTCCTTCCTCTGATCACTAATGGAAACTAATAATGTTAAATGTTTATTTAATAAACAATAAATAGCATTTCTATTTAACACAATAAACAAATAGTGCCATACATGAACACTATATTAGATAGCTTAATAGTATTGAACAGTATTATAGTATATGCACTGTATTAGCTACCTGAATGCTGCAGAAACACAAGGATTTACAAAAGCTTATTTTCTTCAAATTACATTATTTAGTTGCATGTTTCCCATATGTTAAATTGCACCAAAGAATAAGCAACTACATTAATAGGCTCAATAAAATATACTTTTACTACCTATGTTACTTAGGAGAATTATAATGTCACATTGTATCTTCTAGATCTGAAAATACTACAGCCATTAATAATTACAACATTTGTCCTCTATAAAACATAGTCAGATTAAAATAACAGTTTAAAAGTCCTTGAAGAACTTTTCTGGGGAAATTTGCCTGTAGGTTATATATCTTTTGTACCCTTGCTTCATCTACAGAACCAATCTTTGGTTCTGGGAAGAAGTCTCATTTTAGACAACAATATATGAATACAAAACTACAAAATACACAAACCAGCACTATATGATATTGTTTTAGCCTGTCTACTCTTGGTTCACAACATTACAA